ACTTATTTTGTGCACTATTGTTAGGGCGGTGCCGTCCAGCTTGTTACTATGCTGGGAATAGCGCAACCACATTGTTCGCGGGATCACATAACCGTTATGAATGTGTGGTCACTTGACTAAGCTACAAATACCGAAACACTCATAGTCAGATGGTCACATGACCATTATCTAGTGTCCATGACCACCACTACATGCGTCTTAGTGAGCCCAACACATTCTGAGCTTTCGTAGTCTTTGTAAGCATGATCAAGCTTGCCGACATTTTTTCTTACATTGCTGTGATGCTGCTCATGACTACATTGCACCGCAAGTTAATTCATCCCATCAATAGAGAAACCAATTAATCAGACACTGCTTCAATCACGGTGTGATTGAGAAAATAAAGATAACTTATTGCTACTCTCGGCAAGATACTATTCAATTTTACTTTTGTAAAATGGCTGCTGTGCTCTCAAGTTTGGTCATTTTTGAAACTATGCATGGCCTGTTGAATCTAGTTGGTTAGCCAGCTTCATTGGGTGCATTTTTCACCATACACTTGTGCACCAAAGAGAGGTGGTAACCACAGGTTTCACACTGCGATTTTGCATATCTCGTTTCGCATTTGGAGACTCACATGCTTGGGGGAAATATCTCGTTTAAACATATGGTCCACAGGTTTTTGAATAAACAGGAAATTTGTGAAATGCTGATGTGAAAATTCTAAGTTGCTATAAAAAAAAAAACAAAAAAAAAAACAAGTGGTTAGCCAGTACGGTGTCTCCGAAAAAGTTCACTCACTACAATGGCCCACAAAATTGGGCATATATATTACTGAATAGATTGATTAAAGGACTGAGATGTTAGTACTGTCAATAACCGTGTGGACGTATCAAGATGCAATATTTCTTGAATTGATATATTAATAGTTAGATATATATATTAGCATAAGCTTAAAAATCTTTATGTAAAATGCGGTTGATGTGCATAACTAATTACACAATTTTTGTTGTTGAACTTTGACACTACTGGTGGTAACGCAGGGGTGGGAAAGGAAAGCAGGCATTGTCTTCTAGTTTTGCCCCACTACGCCATTTCAACAGATCGAAATAAATTTGCTTTTACCGTTCCCACCATCGACGCAAGAAAGCCGGTGGACCATCGTCGCTAACGACTACCTCGCAAGGCACACCGAGACAAATGCGCTCCCTTCGGGAGCCACTGTGGGAATAGACAAGCTCTTCGTAGAGACCATCATCCTCAGGGATGGTGCCCCCCGAAGTGCTGATTGCAGACGGAGGGTCGTCGTTTTTGGCACAGTTAACCGAGGAGTTCCTCCGGCTCAGCCACACCAGCCATCATCGAACAACGGCGTAGCGTCCGCAGACGAACAGGCTGACGGAAGGGCTAAAGAAGACGCGGGACGAGGTCTTACCCTACGTTACGTTTGCCTACAACACTGCAGTTCAAGAGACGACTGGAGTTACACCTTTCCAGCTGGTATATGGTCGGAAAATAACAACCATGATGGACGCAATGATGCCCCACGAGACAGCTGGCGATTGGAGTGACGAGGCCCAGGTGGTTGCTGAACGGGCCGAAGAAGTCGGCCAGCTCGCCCGACTGCGGATCCAAAACCAGCAGCGTGTCGACGCTGGCCGCTACAACCTTCGTCGTCGGGACGTTTCCTTTTAGACCTGAGATAGGGTGTGGCTCTGGAAACCCATTCGTCGCCACGGCCTCAGCGAAAAACTGTTGAAACGGTACTTCGCACTGTACAACGTACTTCGTGGTCTCGGGGAGCTCAACTACAAAATGGTGCCCGACGGAATGGAAACATCATCATGACGCCGATCACAACCCGAGTTGGTTCACGTCGTTAGACTCAAGGCGTTCTGCGCTCGGTAGCACTGAGGATGTTTTGTTTTCCAGAAGACTTTTTTTATTTGTCATTATTTTTTGTGTTGCATCGGGGCGATGGGCTTTTAAAGGGAGGAGTAATGCTGCGTGCATGACCGAGAAGATCCGCTTCTCTGCTCATCTAGAAGATTTGAGTACACCCTACCCCGAGCCTAAACGATAAGGAGGCCAGAATGATCTTGTGTAGTCAGCCTCGCCCTAGCTCTTCCTCCAACATCCTAGCTCGAATATTCGAGATGACGAGCATAGTAGATAAGGAACCGAGCTCCGTAATGCCGATTCATACACTGAATATTTCTCGCGATAACCAGTTGTTAGGCCGACGCTCCGTCGCTTGCTGCTGCCGCCGTCGACGCTCGCTGCTGTTTTCTCGACGTGTGTAGTGTTTCGTTTCTGGCACACGTTCGCCCCGTGTAAATCTTTAGTTAATTCCGTTTTCTCCTGCATCATTATCTGTCATTCATGACAATATCATTGCAAACAAAGGTACGCATGCACCCCCCCCCCCCCCCCCCCCCCCCCCCCCCCCACTCACAATTTACTAAATCGCGGAGAGTCGGTAGCTTGGAGACAGTTGCAAACGGGCACCTTTCGCAACTTCGCGGTACTCCATAAATTCTCCCCCTCAAAGTATAAACCCATATGCCCACACTGCAACCAATACGCGGACTTAATACATGCAACCTGGCTCTGCCAGGTCAAACCACAACTAGCACCCTCCGTCCCGAACCCTCCCTAGAAACTTAGGAAGCCGTTCTGCTCAGACTCTCGACCGCCAACCAGAAGAAACTGATCGGCAGGGCGAGGAAGGTGGCAGACAGCGTTTTGGCTCTCAACTAAAGGCACCCTCCATCCAATAACGGGCAAAATGAACAGTTTTTTTTCTCTCTCTCTCTATCGAGAAATAAATTGTAGAAGTTTGGCTTCCCTGCGGTTTCCCTCAACAAACGCAAAGTACAGGTCGCAGCTATAAATGAAACCGAAACTCAGAGTTAATGTGTCCAAACTTCACCCTCGGTTTCAAAAACTGCTGTAGCAAATAAGCTAATTTTAATAATTAAAAACAGTCATTTCTGCTGACCGGCATGCTTGTTTTAAGATGATTGTATGTTCAGGTGGTCCACTCTATTTATGTTGAGTGTAAAAAGAAAAGGGCAATTGTGTTTATTAATTTTATGCACTTTACCCGGAAAGCTTGTGGCATTGCGAGAAGCTGGTGGGGGAGAGGATGCGAAACGATATTTGGTATTTTTCATGGGTTACAGGGCAGCGAAGTTTGGGAAGCACAGCGCCACCTGTTTATTTTCCTGTGGGGCAAAGAGAACAATGGGAAGCTAGCACAAACAAAAACGGTATGAAAAAGCAGATTTGGGTATTTGGTGTGCCAAACTAAAAAAGCACATCTGTCTCGCCCAAGCGGAAGATTAAGGATCATTCCGACCACCTGTTTATAGTTTTGCGTCTAACTGAAGGTAAAAGGCGCCTTCTCCGCAATAAGACTCCATCAAATAAAGGGCATCCCGGCCGGGATATGGACGGTGCTAATGACCATTCCTAAACGTCAAACTTAAGGCACAGCTGATGAATGTGTCCATCCGTCAACGTGTTGGTGCGCAGAGTGCTATGATATTGGACGGATACAAAGTGGGATCGGTGGCCGAGAGTGCTAGCGCACACCAGCTCGGAGCACGTGGAGCGAAAGCTCGCGCTGCAGAACCCATGATCCTGGGTTCAGTCCCTACCCCTACCCGGTTTAATCCCCACCCCTGCCCGTTTCGATCTGGGTAAGCATTGTACCGGCGTGCGGTCGTGCATCGCTACTGCGTGGTGCACGTTAAAGACCCCAGGCTAGCAGTTGTACTGCACTGGCTGAATTTCTCATCCTACCGATGGGAGACTCGTCGGCCGTTGCGGCAGACCAAGTTCTAGACTGTATAAACATACACAAACCCAATTTGTTTTTTGGACGGATGTGTTTGAAATGTCTAAATCGGGTGACGTTTAGACTCACCTGTTCTTGGTAGCTCGGTTGACTCAAAGGTGAGGGAGGGATTAGCAGAAGATGACGGTTTAGCTATAACTCTTATTTGTATTTGATAATGTTTTTGTTATATTATAGTCGTAAAAATCAAGAATAGGTTAGTAGTGCATACAGCTGGCTGCGGGACCTAAGAAATTTGAATTCAAAATGGCGAAGTGCGTAGTCTACTTATTTTTGTCGACTTCATCCCGGAAGCTGAGAGCATGACTGCTTCGTTCGGAGAATTCAGGAAATCATACTGCTTTGTGTCAAAATGATTAGTTATTCAAGGCTTTTGATTGCAGGCTTGAGTTTGATCTAACACAGGCCCGTGAGGACTTTTTCATCGTATAAACAGCGTTCCTGGATAAACCAGAATATTTACTTGCAGTGCAGATAGTATTACGTAACAAATTATTAGGGACCTCGATTAGTAGGAATGCGAAAGCCGATTCGAATTATTCGGGTAATTATCGCTTTATTCGAATTCAAAACTGGAATATTCGTACACCAGTAGAAAATATTGCTATAGGTTTTTAATTTTTCTTTTCTAACATAAGGAGTCTAATTGTTTTACATTGCATGCTAAGTATTAAAGTAAAGCTGTCAAGAAATTTAATTGTTTGTTTCTGAGTGAGTTTTTAAAAATGAGTAGTTTGTACCACAAAATGCTTCATTTTTAAGAACACATTTTAAAACAAAAACTTCGGAAAACGTTGTCGTCCACTTTTTATCATAAAATTAAAATGAGTACGCCATGTAAAATTATAATCCTTTTAACATTTATATTGGTGCAAAAATAATGAGAAGCTCGCGGCAATATTTAATATTTCATTTACTATTATATTAGATATTGTGACTACATTAGCCTGCCATAGAATCCCAAGGAAACTTGAAATACGTTAGCAAAGCTACTTTTTAGTATGCGTTTTTACGTTATTTTAATAAACTGAAAACCGTTTTGTAGCCATATATGGTGGCCACAATGCATTCGGTGCCTTTAGATTCATCATTAGCCTGGCGCTCTTATATTTCATGCTATAATTGGCTGGTGGGTAAAATACTTTATACAATGCGACGTTGTACGATTAAGTGACTTTTTGTTTGGGCGAACTTTCGTACCGCTTTGAGATAAACCACACCGAAGATGACAAGACGCCAGCCAAGGCCACAGTTAGAGGGATAATCCACGTCAGCCATCCCAACATACTACGAGATGATCCTGCAAAGAACAAGGCAAATATATTTATTCACGTGATGCCAGTCTCGGACCTCTGTTATGGCGAAAACATAGGCGACACTTAAAATAATAATGAGGTTCACTGCCGATATTCCACTTAACTAGTGATTGAACTCAAATTACTGCGCTGCTATAAGCTTGTATAGAGTCAACCTGTCGTGGTATTCGCTCTTTCTCGTGCGAATAAAAAAAAATCGACCGGGACCTTTACGTTTAATGTTCTCTAATGCATGAAATGCTATGAAACGCCCTGGGAGCACCATCCCCTAGGGTTATCTACGAGGTGTTGCTAGAAGAAGGAAGAGGTGGGGAGTGAAAATGAGAAGTCGGAGAGGAGACGGGTGGGGTGAGGGTATTGGAGTGTCACGTAACATATATTTTTCCGCTATATTTAGCGGGAAACTGAGTGAGTGTATAGGTCACGTGATGCCAGGTGACGACTTGTCGATTTCCCCCGCTCAATCGAGCGAGGAAACTGGATCAGTGTCTAAGTCACAAGACGTGTATTTTTTCGCTGAATTTAATGGGTCACCTGATGTCAATTTCCCGCTAAATTTAGCGGGGAAACTGAAGTATTGTTTTGGCTAGAAGACGTAAATTTTTACGCTGAATTTAGTGAAAAAACTTAGTTGACGTATAGGTCACGTGCCGTAAATGTTTCCTAGGTGTATAGGTGACGTGACATCACGTGACGCCACGTTTTCCCCTATATTTAGCGGAAAATGCACGGACGGATGGACGGACTGAAGGACAAGATTTTGCGATGGGAGGTAGCATTAAAAAGCATTTCATGTTTTCAAAGTGGCTACGTCTGAGTAGAAAGAGCTCCTAAACACTCCCGATCTTTAAGAGTGCAGAGTTTCAAATTTTTGGGACATCAGATCTACACGCTGTCTCTGAAGCCTACGGTGAAAACATTATGTGTATACAATTATGAAATAGACGTAGGCAGGAAGTGTAGAGTGCGGAAGAGAGATGGTGGAGCTTAGTATGTTGCCAGAGAGAATGGCCAGTTGTCAAGAGAAGAAGATCATTCGATGGGGCTCAATGTTTCGTTTGCCAACCTAGAATAAACTGGGTACTGCCGAGATTGACCTTAATGGACGATGTGGTAGGGATGGTAGAATGAGTGAACGACAGGCAGATACTTTTGGACATATATGCGCCAAAGAATCTTTGGTGCTTGACTTGAGATTTAACGTCAAGTCAGCAGCGGCGGTCCTTGAAATTCAGAAAGACACACAAGTCGTCACATTGTATAAGGTAGAGTCAGTGTAGCCGTGGCTCAGGACACAAAAGTATTCAGGAATCATACTGACAAACGCAAAAGACCACTTGAAAGTACCCCGAAGCCACCTGCGGCAAGCAGTCATCTGAAGGGCCAGCCGACACAGCCTCTGCAGATCCAGTAGGTTTATTTTATCGCGGAAATTGTGCAACGACATGGTGGTACGTGGTACAAGGGCTAAAATTTACAAATACAGTGGTCTTGTCCCCACGCGATTTCCGAACCCATGCGAAGCCTACAGACAAGTGGAGGTTGTCTGCCAGGCGCTGGACGCAGTAGCAAAGGAAGCCTTGGAGGGTGACCTAGTCTGATCTCCCTCTGCGGTCGTGGAGGTGAATACCACAATTAAATTCCACGGACAATTTCGACATGAGGACCCCTATTGATGGGTATTTGGCAATACGTCACCGGACTGAAAGGCGGATGGCAAAGATACCCGCCTTACTGATCCCGTAAAAGTGTCCACGGCGACGGAGTGGGAGTCCAAGGTGCGGAAAAAGGTGCTTGACCAAAAGATGCAATACTAGCTCAAAACGCCCAAACCACGTCTATACTAGATGTGGGCGTAAAACACAAGCGAAACGTTGTCTCGGAGACCCGGTTATACGGCGACATATGGGGCTGATGCCTGAGTCAGCCATGGCCCCATGTCCGTGTTCATTACGGACGGTGGGTTTACGCCACTGCATCCACGATCGTGTCGGGCTCGAGACCCATCAGGAAATGGCGGCATAGGTCGTCCTAGATTGCAAGGGTCTCCACCCAACCCATTCACGGGACAACCACTCACACCCTTAAAGCCCCCGTGCTGCTCGCTGAAGCGTTTGGTTTTTCTAAAACAGCAGGATAACTGCAGCAACCCGACGAAACATGGCGAGGCAAGCGGACGGACAGCCCTGCTACAAATTTGAAGGTGACTTCCAGCGGCCCTCACATACCATCTCTAGAAGCCGCCGAAAGGAGACTGGAGGACTTGTGGAAGTTAAGGGTAACCGCAGAGGTGTTTTAACACTCGCACGCCCCCCCCCCCCGTCTAGGTACAAGCCTAGCTCGAGCCTGCGCGTTCCAAAAGGAAAGAACAATATTCTAGTAGTCATAAAACAAAAGAATAACAAGAGCTGAAGGGCAATATAGACCGAAAGCATAAATCCCGCGAACAATGAAAGGATCTTAGTGGATGACAATGTTCAATGTAAAATTAGGTCTGAAAAAAAAGGATCCACAATAAGCAGAAGGTTTTTTTTTTGATAAAATGCGCCGCAAGTCAAGGACAGAGTAAGGGAGACAACAGGAAGATCTTCGTGTTGTCTCCGTTACTCTGTCCCTGTCTTGCAGGGCATTTTGTCAAAAAAAATCACGTACCAACTGGCCCATCTGTCACTATAGACCCCTTGCAGAAAACCCGGCAACAGTGTCTCTCGGCATAGTAACCATGGCAACAGCGAGGCGGTCAGCAGGTGCGTGACATGGTGAAGGAAAGCAGGTCGCAACCTTGCTGTACGCCAACCGAGCTTTAGGCGCTTCATGTGTTGTTTTAAGGACAGTTTACGCGCTCCAGAGTATCAGTGAAGATGCCAACACAGTGCTGTGCCCCGGTCTGCACGGAATATGAATACACTGACACATTCGGACGGAAGGGAGTACTTATATACGCCTATCGGACCGTCCGCTGCCGCGACCGTTTGGCTAACCTCACGAATTCGCATTCATTTGCTTAATGAGGATAATATATTGGTTCTGCATTATACTGCTTTGCGTTGTCTTCACTATTTCTGTTAGCCTGGTATACGTTTCACGCGGATAAACGAGCGTCGGTTTTACCCGCCGGACCCGTTGCCTTTCGGCCGGCCTCACTATTTTGCATGCAGTTGCTTCATACATTACGTTGTTATTTCACCGCACATTTATTTAATGTTGCTCGGTAGACAGATACCATTGGCGAGGCTAAACAAGCAGTCGAATTCCCGTATATCCTGCGAACGTTTTCTACACTTTAACAATAAACACACGAAAAAAAAAACTTTACCTTGCAGGCGCGTTTTTTTAAAATCTTCTTTTATGTTATTGGGGCATCCACTAACACCATGTTACTTTATGCTTCCATGCAGAATTGGGACAGCACCGCATTGGGTTCCCCTTGAGGGCATCTTTTTATGCAAGTTTAGTGGGGACTTGCAGGCACATCATGATTTGTCATATCTGTCATGATTTCTCATGATCTAACCATCTTTCTTTTCAGGTTTCATACCTAGCAAGCTAGCTAGCAAGGTTATTTTCCCAGCCGGCGGCGGGAAACAGCCGCGTTACTTCATTTGCCCTGCCACGTTTTCACGCAGAGCCAGCGGGCCGAAGAAAAAAAACATTCCTTCACCATGGAGAGCGCGCACACTGTTGCCCGAGGCGCACAGAGTTGTCACACTTTTGAAAGGGGTCTATTGATGAGGTTTGTTTGCTTTCGGTGCCTGAAAAAACACACAAAAAACAACATGTTTCAAGTATAACCGTATTGAAAGCTTTGCCGTTTGCTGGATACTTCCTCTGCTCGCAGCAATAAGCCACCTGCGTGTTTAGAAAAAAAAAGTTAATGCAGGGTCTTTTGATAGGTGTGCAAATAATCCGAACTTGAATGTATAGAATTGCTCAACATATCGAATTACATTTTACAAATTGAAAAAGCAAGAAATATAAAATATAAATTTCATAAGAAACAGAAAATAATACTGTTAAATGTTGTTATTTATTTCAGACAGTAAAAAAAAAAAAACAAACAAACAAACAAACAACCCTTTCATAGAATCCTTTGAACGTGAGAGGGCCCAACTTTTTAAAGTAGGATTATGCATTATAATTATGGAACAGTGTTCTGTATAAACCCAAAATAATTTCTGTCTTTTGGTGTAGCATTCCATATTGAAATAGTACTGCGAATCTTAGTAATGACATACACACTTTCGAAAAATAAAATTCAAAATATGAGCAGAATTTGAATCTTGCGATCTCAGAAATATAAAATCAGTAAAATAAAAATACTTCAATGTTTTTAGTACTTAACGCCCCATAGTTGAACGCTTCTGTACAAGTTTCTATTGATCATTAAAGGCCCCACTTTAGCGTAATGTCAGTGAAAATGCGTAAATCACTCGTGAATTTAGCAAAAAAAAGCGTATATTGTAAGCTCGTAGATCTTAGACCAATAGGCGACAATCAGTGACATTTCATGTCTAAAAAGAGATTTGTTAGAAAACAAAAACACAGCTCATTATTTGGAAACAGACGTAGTCTATAGAATACCGTGAAAGCAAAACCTAAATTAAAGTTCGGCTAAGTCAAGCATAGCCCTATATCGAATAACAAATATCTGTAGTATCAGAATCTGTCAGTCATCGTTATATTGGTACCACTTTTTATGCGGTCCTAGAGTAATGCTGGCGCGTGAGCTCGATTCGCTTTCATTTTCCTTCCCAATTTTCCTTTTTTTTGTAGACTCGTTTTGGAGTCCGTTCACACGCTTGCATTTGGCTAGGACCGACTGAGACAGGACCAGGTGTTAATCCACTTGCAACGGCTTACGGCTGGCTGTTCAATGCAGCCGGTCGTGAATTGTTACAAGATGCTTTAAAAACCGTTCTTCTTTCAATCGGTCGTTGTCAAATGCGAGTATGTGAACGGACCTTAAATGCTATATCGAGGGATGTCCGAATGTAGTTTTGAATCGAATAGTGCATATTTCACTTTCTAGTGGAATACATTTGGAATTTTGTAGTGGACTGAGAGAAGTACTAGAAGCGAATGCGATACGAAGGTTCGTTAATAAAATATTTGAGGTAATGGGCCAGGTGTTATTTGTGAAGAGTTAGCGTGTCCCGGAAAGAGTACAACAAAGGTGATCACGCCAGATGTGTTGTGATTATTAACTTTAAATCCGCTAACCTGGGCCACATTCGTTGTCATGCTGGATCATATTGGGTGAAATACAGACGCACAAACGGTTGACACACTTCAAGTAAGGGTTGCTGCCGGTGCACTCTTGCGTCATACTGCACTCGTCGAATAGGTCTTTGGCTGCGGGAAAGAAAAGCGTCGAGCAATTAATTGGGGTCAGAAGAACAGCCTCATCAATCCGCTGTTTAGTGCATGGCGGTGTGTTCTGTTGAAAGTGTTTGACAAATATTTACAACCCTACTGGAAGGGCGCGAAGCTAACATCTGATTAACCAAACTAATATATTTTGGGCGGATTCGATCGGACTATGCATTCGAGGAAAACAAGAATGCACTTTCGATTTTAATAACTGATAACTACTACACTGTGTAGCCATAATGCGCATAAATAATAATAAAAAAAAACAACTCTAAGAAGAGATATGTATAATTGGGGCATTTGTTTTTATATTGCACCATTTTCAACAAGAAAACAAATATAGGTGATCCCTGTCTTTATCTTTCCCTGCGCCCATCAAGGCGCTCACCTAAAATACGCGGAATGCGCAAACTGTGTCTTACCTCATGAAATCGCTATTCTGGCAGCTGCCGGAAAAATGGGGCTGCTTTGTCGTGCTTTGCTGCATACTACATCGGAATGCAAGAGCATTTCGACGTTTCATTTATAAAGGGCATATTAGGACGAACCTTGTCTGCTCACTTAACCCTTGGTCATAGCAAAACGAGCCTACCTTGCTTTTCTGCCCCTAGCCAAACGCTGTTCTCTTGCTAGGAAGACGACCTTTCTTTTTGCGAGGCATTTTAAAGACGACCAGAACATTTCCAGTGAGAGTATGTATTCTATCACATGACGAATGAGTGGATGAATGGTATTGGCTGTACCCCTTGTATTGGGCAGTAGCATGTGCCACTTAGCCTAAAAGCATTTACACCCCTTTCCTTTAAATTCTGGTATTAATTACGTCTCTTGTTAAGTCATCTACTCCTCAATTTTAAATGTAATCTAATTCTTTTCGACACTCACAAACTGTCTGTGATACGTTTCTCACCCACCCTTTGTGTTTAAAAATAATTGAAGTAAAAACCTTAGGGAAAGCAATGAAGCACATTGAGTGACTACAAACAGGGGCGCGGATTACAATGTATAGTTTCTTTTAAAATATAAACAAGCCCATCAAGGCTACAAGCAACTGTTTATGCTGTAAAAGCAATTCGCCCATATTATCAACGGCAACTGTTCTAGATTTGTTAGAAAGTCAGGGCACGATGCTTCCAAGAAACACACATAGTGCCTTTTTACGTTGACTACATTCGTCACCTTTAAAATCTTAAATGCGTGATGATATTTCCCTCGTGAATCTCATTGCAAATGTTCCACAACTATCACTGAGCAAACCTGCGCTGTCATAAGTAAGTGAGCTCTAAACCCTCACACAGTCTTATGTGGGATTACCTTGGTGGACTTGGAGCGATCCAAAAACACTCCATGCTAGCACCTTAGTGCCGCAGATGCGAGCACGCGTTTGCACTTTGGAGAATATACTATCAAAGAAATGTTTCAATACCTCTTTGAATTTGCAAAGGAAATTCCCCATTAGAGTCCTGTCCATACTCAATATGCTCCAGTGCCTACTCTAGCTTATCCACAGACGTATCCGATAGTAATAAATCCAAGTGCAGGAGTTGCGCTTTTAAGAATGGCATGTGATGTAGGTAGAGAGTAAGATAACAATTGGACTTCAATTTACAAAACAAGGGAAACATCACAGTGAAGTGCGACAAAAAACAAGAATACAATTGATTTGCCAAAGCCTGGAGGGCACGCGAAGAGACGATTTGAAGCCACCACATGTCGGACGCGTCATGTTATTTCAAGATGGCAGGGCCTATGCGACGGTGGGTGAAAATGCCTATATTATATTATCTTGAAGACAGGGCTCGCCCATGACATCATAGTTAGTAGAACCCCGACCATTCCCAAACGGCAAACACGCTAAAGTCCTACAAGAGTCAACGCAACGCAGCAGTCTCATCTGCCGCCTCCGCCAGCAGGTAAACTGTGCACCCGATACCGCGATCCTGGAAACAATCACAATCGCGCGCAAGCCGGAGCTCGGGCACTTGTTCCTTCGCCGAGAACCATGATGGAGGCACCGCCCAAACCGTAAAGCTTGTAATAAAAGTTGCATTTACCAATTGGCGACGAGCGATGGAAACGAACCTGCTGCTTTAGGAGGTGGCGACTAACGCCACCAAGGGAGCGTTCTCGGGAGGGGGCTGTTCATCGTGGACGGAGAGGCTGATCTACTACTTTGAGACCAACGGTATCAAGTAAGGCACCAAGAAGCGGGCCGTTCTGCTTACTCTCAGAGGTTCATCCACATTTGAAACGGTCGAGGCATTGGTGGCTCCCGAATTTCCAAGTTAGTTTACTTTCGAGGAGATCGTGACTTTGCTTCGAGCAAATTTTGATCTTCGGCCGGCGGAACTGTTCAGTCATTTCAAGTTCGAAGGGTGAGAACAACAGCCCCAAAAGTCAGTTACCGCGTACATCGCAGCTCTAAAGAAACTTCCAGCAAACTGGAATGTTGGGAATGTTCAAGTTACTCCGACAACAAGCAGAGTTATCCCTCCCGTCACAGCGCCAGCTGTTGGGGTGGCCAGCGGCATGGTGAGAACGGTTCCCACGAACGGGACAATGACGTATACCAAAGGACATAATGTTGTGCGATTGTTTTGCTTGTGGTCTTCAAAATAAAAATCTCCAGCAACGACTATTTACGGAGATGGACCTGACGTTCCTCAAGGCGTTTGACATTGCCGTACAAGCAGAGATCGCCAAGGAACATCGGCGGCAGATAAAAGCACATTTTACTAAAATCAACAAGACGGAAAAAACGCGTCCGGCACACCGTCATCAGGAGAAGACGACATCATCGTCGACACACTGCTATCGCCGCGAGGAATTACACAATCCTAGTTCTTGTAAGTTCCGGATATCCCAGTACCGGTACTGCAAAATGACGAAACACATAGCGAAAGCATGGTTAAAGAAAAAAAAAAACGCTCAGAACTTCGTGCAGGCACTCAAACCACAGGAAACTCTTAGCCCCGTTACAACATTCTCAAGCACTCTGAATAACCTGCAGGCCCTAACACCACGGAGGGAGCCATCAGAGAAGGTTATGATAAGCCTGGATCAAGTTGTTCCTCTCAAATTTCATGTAGATTCTGGAGCTGCGTTTTCTTTGATCATCGAACAAACGTTCAAAGCAGTTTGGCCTAGAAAGCCTCCGGAAATCACAGACTACGACATCGCTCTGCGTACTTGGTCTGATGAAGGCATCAGATCCCTAGGAACAATTCACGTCATGGCCAGTTTAAGAAACTGAAAGTAATGTTGCCTCTTCTTGTGATGAAGCACCTTGAATGTAGCCCTCTTGGCCGAAATTTTTTCGCAGCCCTGGAAATTGACCTCAGTGGTGTGCACCAGGTTATGTTGGATGGCAGCCTGACAACCATCACTGAAAAGTTCCGGTCGGTTTTTGATGGAAATCTAAACTGCTAGAACGGGCCAGTGGTAAGCCTAGAAGTGAAAGACAACGCGCCACCCAAGTTCCTGCGAGCTCGGAATCTGCCATCTGCGCTAAAACCAGCGGTGGAAGCCAAGTTGCAATGTCTCACACAGCAAGGCAACACTGAACAGACGAATCAAATTGGGCGACACTCGTCGTAGTACTGAGATTAAAAAACGGTAGCATCAAACGCTGTGGTGACTACCGCAGTGCCGCCCATGCCATGACGCTCAAGGCGGTGGATATGACGCTCAAGGTGTCATATCTACCGCCGACAGTGACAAAGGTGCTTGCAAAGCTGCGGGGAGGGATAATGGTTTCCACGCTCGACCTGCCTCAAGCATACCAGCAGTTACTGCTCACCGAGAACACCGCTAAAGTTTTCACCATCAACACGATAAAAGGGCGTTGATGGTGTGAAGCGACCTGCCTTCGGCACCTCGGCAGCATCAGCCATTTTTCAAATATGTATGGAGACAACGCTTGCAGGGATGCCAGAAGTCAGCGTGTATATGGACGACATCTTTGTCAACTGTGCCACAACCGCAGAACACGCTTAGCGTCTGGACTCGGTCCTGTCAAAACTCTAAGCAGCTGACCTTCGAGAGAACCGAGAGAAGTGCCTTTTCGGCGATTTCGAGGTAACATATCTGAAACACAAAATCGATGCGGTTGGTGTTCATTCAACAGACAACAAGATCAATGATTATAATGCCATTAAATGCAAAGATGCAAGTGAGCTGGACAAGAATGACGAAAATAATCCCTGGAGGAGAAGAAAAAGGGGTACAAAGGACAAACACAAATCTCCAAACACATCTAGGTGACTGTTAAGCGACCGAAAAATCCGCCTGGTCCGGGTATCGAACCCGGGACCTCTTCATTTCCAGTGGAGCTCTCTGTAGGGGCCCCGTGCTAGACACTTTGTTGTTTTTTGTTTTCTCTTTTAGCTCGCGGCACCATCGCCATGCACAAGCGCTGAGGTGGTCGCGAGCGCGCGTGATTAAAGACATTTGCATCACTCCCATCTCAGACATACTTGGAAAACTTGAGGGAGATCTTCCAACGGCTACAACCAACACCGCCTCGCCTACCAAGCTCCCGCAGAGTTTTTGTAAGCCAAGATCTAACAACATGCACGCACGTTTTCCTGCGGAAGGAGGGCCTCAAGAGGAGTTTGACACCGCCTTACGGCGGGCCGTTCAAAGTCATTGACCGTACGGCAAAAACTATGACCCTCGATTTGCACGGTCGCACAGAGATCGTTGCAATGGACCGCATAAAGCCAGCCTTCCTGGACGATAATCCTGCACCTCCGGCTACGATCATACAACAAGGAAACTCCCACGCGCCTACAAGTTCGCCACCCGTCACTAAGCGTGTCTCATGGAACATCTGACTCTGCCCCATGAGTGACACTTTGCTCCATGTTGCTAGGGGGGGAGCCCTGTAGGGGCCCCGTGCTAGACACTTTGTTGTTTTTTTGTTTTCTCTTTTAGCTCGCGGCACCATCGCCATGCACAAGCGCTGAGGTGGTCGCGAGCGC